TTTTCGAAAGAAAGCATCCAGTGAGTCTGGATGCTCTCTTTCGAAGAAGCCCTATTTACATTCAAGAACGCCTTCTTTCGAAAGAGGAACTTTCAAAAGAAGGCGTTCTTCCTCGTAAATTGAGGTTTACCGCCATCGAAAGAAAAGCCGCGTTCTTTCTATTTAATTTCGAAAGAACGCGGCTTGAGTCTGGACGCAGGTGAAGTTTTTTCGAAAAAAGTCTACTTTTTTTGAAAAAACCCCTGAGTCTGGACACAGCCCTACTGGTAACCTCCTATTTCTACATGTTTGTGGCTCCTAAAAGGGACACAGACCAGTCCCTGCTGATGGCCCCAATTAAGGGGCAGCTTTGCCCCCTACCTCAAAATACTGCCTAGGAGGCTATGGCCACAGGAAAAGTTGAGAGGCTGCCTTGCAGGGTAGAGAACACCATGTATTTCAGCTTATTACAGGAAAAGTTTGTTCACAAAATCTTTAGAGTAAAATCAATATTAAAATTAAGGAGCTCTGTATCTCAGCAGTTCTCCAGCTGTGGATCAGGTCTCCAAAGTGGGGTTGCCACAGCCGGTGGTAAACATGTTGGGACCCAAGGCCAAAGCTGGGGCTCCACCACCCAGAGTCAAAGCCCAATAGCTTCAGCCCTTGATGGCAGGGCTCTGGTTACAGATCACCAGCCTGAGGCTGATGTCCTTGGACTTTGGTCTCCTCACCTGGGGCAGTGCAGTTTGGGCATGCTTATGCTTGGGCCCTCCCCTGCTGGGGTCATGTAGAATTTTTTGTCATCAGAAGGGACAGAAGGGAGTCAAGTGCAGTGTAGTTTGAGAACCTCTGCTATACCAAAATGATTAATCTTAGTGAGTGGAGCATTCCATTTTGTGATGGGGATTAAAATAAGCTTTCATTTTGCTCCTAACAACTTTGTATTTATTTTTGGAAGTGTTAGTTCCAATCGGTAGTGTAATAGCAATGGGAGAGCATCTCACTCAGTGTTATTATAAACAGTGTATGGTACCAACACAAGATCAGTGAGGTTTTTTTATAGCACCCCATAGCATTAGTGGGTTTTTGCATAATCATGTAGCTCCTTAGGAAGTGTTTCATTCAATGGTAATGTTTATTGCATGGAGATTACTGTTCTACAAAATGAAAATAATTATAGTTAGTACATATAGCAAGAGATGTAGCTAGATGCCTGGCAGTGAACAGATACAAACCCAAGTATTAGAGTATGTGATAAAGTTTTCCTATAGTTATTTCTTCATTATGACCTTCTCTCCAACCACATTTTATATAAATGTGCACACATGCATATGTGTTGGATTAAATCCTCAGGTACAAATAATCAAATCACCACTGAAGTCAGTAGACTTACACATTGACTTACACAGCTGAAGATCTATCTCAGTCTCTATCTTTTTGTATTACCACAAAAATGCATATGTGACGCTTGATGAATTGCATTTTAACTATCCTTTCATTATTTTTAAAAATAATTTATATTGTTGAAAAAGAAATGTTGCTTAGCAGCAAACTACAAATCTAGAGCATAGTGTCATAAAAATTTCAGCCACTCAAAACGTCTATCATCCACAAAAGAATGCACTCTGGGAGTTTCAAAGATAACAGATGTACTTAGTGTAAAACACAAAAGTTTAGGAATAAATGGATCAAATATTTATTACTGATAAAGCATCTAGCACTCTGTACTACACAAATACCAGCTTATACACAGATGTGATTCCTGTCCTTGGGGCTTACAGTCTAATTTGGACACAGACAATAAGGCTCAGACAGGCAATCAGTAATACATCATATGATGGTGGTTTAGCTTTTAAGAGAGAAGAGTGGCTCAGTGTGCAGAGGCTGGCATTTTAAACCTCTTAAAGTCATTGTGAGAGTCAATTGTTTCTAGAACTTAATATTATCATCAAGCTTTCTAAAGGCTGGGGCTGTGCCTTTTGGCCATATCTTTGCCTATTTTACTACCTAAGTATTTAAAGCAGGGCATAAGCAAATAATAAACAAAGTCCAAGAAGTAGTCTTTACAACTCTGCAATTTATTTCCATAACACCGGCGGAGATCGGCAAAACTCTTTATTACAAGCTTTGATTCACCACGCTTCAAAACAGCCGCATATGGCCGATCAGAACAGCTGTCTCCCCTTGCTTGGCGGGAAGCGGGGCATTGAAGCGCAGGGGTGCTAAGTGACTGGCCCAAGATCCCACCGTGGGTCCAGGCACAAGGTAGCAACAAAAGGGCCAATCATAACACCGGCGGAGATCGGCAAAACTCTTTATTACAAGCTTTGATTCACCACGCTTCAAAACAGCCGCATATGGCCGATCAGAACAGCTGTCTCCCCTTGCTTGGCGGGAAGCGGGGCATTGAAGCGCAGGGGTGCTAAGTGACTGGCCCAAGATCCCACCGTGGGTCCAGGCACAAGGTAGCAACAAAAGGGCCAATCCCATCTCCTCTAAGCATTACAGCCCCCCCCGCCTCCGCGCTTCCACCAGGGCTAGTAGGAGGACCCAGGAGTCCGGGCTCACAGCCCCACCTCGGACCAGCAGTGCTGCCCCTCCCC